GGCGGGGTAAAAATAAAATTTATTATTATTATTATTATTATTATTCATCTGTGAAATGTTGGAGGGTATGCAGCGAGTATGAGAGCCAGTGTTGCAGAGTGGTTTGAGTGCTGGCCTATGACTATGATTCCAAAGAACAGGATTTGATTCCCCGGATGGCCATGAAGCCCACTGAGTGACCTTGGGCAAATCACATGCTCTCAGCCACAGGGGAAGGCAATGGCAAACTTCCTCTGAATAAATCTTGCCAGGAAAACCCAATGATAGGTTTACTTTAGGGTCTCCATAAGCCAGAAACTACTTGAAGGCACAGCACAACAACAACAACAACAAACGCAGCAGGTATCAGAGCATGTGTGGCATTTGAGTGCTGGATTATGACTAGAACTCTGGAGACCAGGGTTCGATTCCCAGCTCAGCCATGAAACCCACTGGGTGACCTTGGGCAAGTCATACACTCTCAGCCTCAGGGAATGCAAGGGCAAACCTCTTCTGAACAAATCCTGCCACGAAAACCCCATGGTTGCTTTCCCTTAGGGTCCCCATAAGTCAGAAACAACTTGAAGTCACACAACGACAGCAGCAACCACAACAACATGCAGCAGGGTACAAAAGTTCTTGTACTGGGAGGAGGGCATTTCAACTTGTCATGGTGAAACGTGAAAGCCAAAAGCTGCCCTAGCAAGATATCGGGCCCCACCAAAATCCACCTTTGTGTGTATGTGTGGATTCCAGTTGTGGCACAGCCGGGGCAGAGCTACCCACCTTTTACCCATTCTTATTAACCTCCCTTCTGCAGCAAGATGATGTTTTGGGAGCCTTTTTTGTCCTCCAGAACACCTGCATGGAGGTCAGGTTGTGGATGGGTGCAGCAGGCATCCATAGTAATAGGGGGATACAGAGTTGGCACATTATCCCCTGCTGAGTAAATGCCCGCCTGGGGAGGCAAGAAGAAAAAAGGTCTCACTCACTGCTGTGCCAGCTTTTGCGTGGCAGCTGAACCCGGTAATTAAATCCCAATGCAATGGATCATAGCTCGTGCGTGTGCCAGGGCTGCTTCAAAAACTGGCTGCCATCCCAATCCTTGGCTGGCATTTGAAACCGATTGGCACTTCTGCCTCCCAGTTACACCCTCTCTGCTGCTACTCCCCATATGCACCCCAGAGGGATTTCTTCCCCAGATTTGCTCTCTTCACCTCAAATATCCAGGCCAGACAATCAAATAATAATAATAATAATAATAATAATAATAATAATAATAATATAATAAATTTATATCCCACCCCTCTGCAGAGCAATCAGGGTGGCTTACAACATTAAAATTTCCATACAGATATATTAATACAATTTAAACAGAACATAAAAATCCCAA